TCAGGTCCTGCAAAACAGAAGGTAAAATTTTAGTTTTAGAGGAATATAAAGATAAATCATAATTGATTGAATTAATATTTTCAAACTCCCTTTTTTTATCTTCGTGGCAAAGTTCAGGATCCTTAAAAAGATCATAAGAAAAATTAGATTCAATATATTCATCAATTAAAGGATATATAATATCAACAAAATTAATTCTTTCAACATGATCAGGGGCATTTCATTGCTTTGTAAACATCAAATTCAAAGATCTCACCATCATTCCATTGTTAGTATACCACTTCTAACATCGATCTTTGTATGTGCTGTGCTTAGGAAGGGTCGGCCTAAGAGTACCTCGGAATAAGAATCCGAACTATCATGTTCCATGTCAATGACATAGAAATCTGCAGGAAATAATAATACATCGACCTTTACCAAGACGTTTTCCATTACTCCCACTGGATAGATCACATATCGATCAACCAACTGTATGGTTATTCCTGTTTCCTTCAAAGGCTCGTTAGTAATCATTTTATATATAGAAAATGTCATAACATTAATTGAAGCTCCTAAGTCACACATTGCACGTTTAATTTTGAAATTACCTATTTTGTAAGGTATAGCGAACATACCTTGATCCTTCATCTTTGGTGGGAGTTTTCGTTGAAAATTTGCAGAAACATGTTCTCCAAAATTTACCTTTTCGTGTCCCATTAATTTCCTCTTTGTAATGCAAAGTTCTTTTAAAAATCGAGCATACCTTGGTACTTGTCGAATTACTTCAAGAAGAGGTATGCTGACTTGAACTTTTTGGAAAACCTCTAAGATCTCCCTTTCTTCAGCTCTTTTATCACGCTTCATCAACCTTGATGGGAAGGGTGGTGGTGTGATTTCATGAGAAGAAAGAGAAGGATGTGAGTCAGACGTACCTTGTATTTCTGGAGGTGGTGTTTTCCTCTTGTTCTTCCTGATGTGCGACTTTTTCTGCTGGAACTTTAGGTGAGATAACTTTTCCACTTCTGAGTGTGATGGCACTAACATTCTTTCTCGGATTTAACTCCGTTTGAGAAGGTAGTTTTCCTTGTGATTCCAATTTTCCCATAGTTTGAGCTAGTCGGCTTACTTGATTATCTAACTCTTGAAGATGCGTTTTGGTTCGGTTTTGGAATTTTTCTTGGGATGCAATGAACTTTTATTGTGAAATTGCTAACTTTCCTATGAGTTCCTCCAATGATGAGTTTTGCGTTTGTTGTTGAGGATGAGGCCTTTGTTGATAAGTTGGTCTCTGATTTGCCGCATAGCTGAAGTTTGAGTGGTCTCGCCATCCTGGATTGTAAGTATTGTTGTATGGGTTGTATTGTCTTTGTGGAGGATCTGGAAAGTTCCCTACTGCATTGATTTTTTGCATTGCCTCTTTCTTGTATCAGCGGGCAGCAATCCGTCGGATGGTATAGCTTTGTGCATATCCCACATGCTCTTGTTGCTCCAGATTTTCCTGCAACAAGTGAATTAACTACTTCAGTTAATTTATCTAATTTATTTTCAAGGGAAAACGTACTTATCTCGTGAACCCGTCGGCTGGGTTCACTCGAAAACTGTTCAGAGTTGGCTTCCATGGTTGAAATCAATTCCCTTGCTGTTGTTGGGGTCATGTTAACTAATGCTCCTCCACTGGTGGCATCCACCATTTTCATCTCCATTGGTAAAAGACCTTCATAAAAGTATTGAAGTAACGTTTGCTCACTTAATCCATATTGCGGACAACGTGCACAAAGCTTTTTAAATCGCTCCCAATAGTCATAAAGACTTTCTTCGCTCTTTTACTGAATGGAAAGAATGTTCCTTCGTAACTCGATTGCTTTAGTCGCTGGAAAGAACCTGTCAAGAAAAATTCGATTCATGTCAGCCCATGAATTAACTGAATTTGGAGGTAAATAAAATAATAAATCTTTAGCCAAGTCAGATAAAGAGAAAGAGAAAGCTCTCAATTTAATTTGATCCTAAGTGACTCCTTGTGGTTTCATGCTAGTGCAAACCATGTGGTTTCATGCTAGTGCAAACCATGTGGAATTCCAACAAGTGTTTGTACGGATCTTCAGTGGGAAAGCCGTGGAAAGTGGGAAGAAGATGAATAAGTCCTATCTTTAATTGAAATGGAGTCCCGCCACTAGGAAAATTAATGTATAATGGCGTCTGAGTGACAGGAGCTGTGGCTAGCTCTCGGATCGTTTGTTCTTCTGCCATCGGGATGTTGTATGCGTCTGCTTCAGAGTCTGTCTCTGGAATTGATTCTGCTTCTAAACTTTGCTCTTGTTCTTCTTGTCTTTTTCTCTTTTTTCGAAGCGTTTGTGCGTGGATTCTTCGTGCTTGTACTTCGATCTCTAGATCTATATCTACTAATTCACCTGGGTTACTTCTGGTCATAAATCAAAAACTAGAAAAATAAATCAGTACTTGTCGTTAGTCCCCGGCAACGGCGCCAATTTGATAACCGTCGTTTTGCTATCAAAATAATTCTTGGTTTCTTAATAAATAAAAATGAAAATGTAGTATAGAGAAGCAGGGTCGATCCACAGGGACTGTGGTGTTTCTGATTTAATAAAACTCTTTCTTGATTTTAGAAAAAGATAGAATTTCAGATGAAGTTGAAAAGATATATTAAAATAAAAAAAATAATATAATAATAAATATTAATAGTAATAAATATAAAAGAATGATTTTTTTTAAAGTTATGGTTAAAATAAAAAAATAAGAATTAAATAAAAGAAAAAATAATAATTAAATAAACAAATTAAAGAGATTAAGATAAAGAGAAACTTATTGTGAAAGCAGCCTCAGACTTCAGCTTCGCCTCAAATTCCTCGGATCATCGAAACAAATTTTTACTTCAAGATTCACGTAAGCTTACAAGAACAATTCTTCGCTGCCAACTCGGATTGTGTCGCTTCAACAACAACGAATTCCGATCTCAGTTTCCTCTTAGCAAACAATTTTTGCTAAGTGTGTTCTCGGGAAGTTGAATATGCTTCAATAAGCAAATCATTCTTCAAACATTAACCATAACAATATCCGAACCAATGTCGAAATAGTTTTGATTTGAAAAGTAAGCTTCAGAAAACATAGAGAAAATCCGAAGCGATTTAAGTACCTTACAATTCTTACGTTTGGAATTGAGCCTTCGCTTTAGGCTTCGGCTTGAAAGAAAATTAGCTAAGCATAACCAAAGTCATACTTAGCATAATAGAAAAGTATGCAAAAAAATAGAGAGAAAAAGAAGATTTTATTCTCAAATGAGAGAGATATGTTTCTAGGCTCATCCTTAGAGGGTATTTATAACCTTCAAAATCCTAAAAACAAACTAAAATATCTTAAATCCTAATTAAAACACTTAAAACTATTTAAACTAAAATACCTAAAAAAATAATATAATATTATAAATCCTAATTAAAATACTAAAACCTATTTAAACTAAAATACAAAGATAAAGATAAAATATAAAAATAATATCCTAAAACTTAATTAAAATACTAAAAACCTATTTAAACTAAAATACAAAGATAAAATATAATGTTTAAAATATTATCCTAAATTTGAGTTTAATCCAAATCCGAATTCTAGCCAGCTTTGATTCTGAAAATAAAAATCTGCAGAATTGTGTCTTTTTTGTGCAATTTCTATAATTTTACGTCCTGTATAGAAAATAAATTAAAATGAATAAATAAACCACAAAAATCAATGATTAAAGAATAATTTAAAAGTAAAATATTAACTAAATTAAGCACATTATCAAAGAAACATTAGTCATGGTCAATTAAAACACATATATTTTACGCATACAATCTTGCATTCTTATGAACAATGGAATTTGAAATGCAGGTGCTGTCTAAAGTTGTAGATTCTCCTTTGAACTCACCGGCTGAAGAAGAGGATGACGCACTAAAGACTCCCCATGAGAAAAAAGAAAATTGAGGAGCAGAGAAAGGCAAAACGAGATAAGAAAGTATATCATTATCAGCTTGTTTTTTAGTATTCTTTTGTAATTACGCTTTGAAGATTTAATTCTAATGCGGCTTACTATTTTAGGAGGCAGAGGAGAAAAATGCGGCTATGTTCAACCAAGTCCTGGATCTTCGAAAGGCACCGCTTGGAGCGCTGGAAGAGCTGTTTGATCTGCCTTTATGAACAAAAGAACTCTATGTTTCTGACAAGCCCATTCGTGGCTATTATGTTGTTTCAATTGGGTTATTGCAGGTATGGTGAAACAGTCGATTGTCTCCGTCATCACCGCGTTGTGATGAAGGGAAACAAGGTAAGATACAGCATTTGCAAGGTTTCAGAAGAGCTTGTAGATGCCCACAATGGCTTGTTCTTCAAACCTTTTGACTACAAAGAATTTTTGGGACTTGACTCTACCAAGGTCACTTGAGGAGCTCTTCCGAGATATGGTTAGTCTTATTGCAGGGTCTAAGATTTAAGATTTAAACATAATATTCCAAGTATTACAATTGTGTTTTCAAACTATGAAGCGTGTAGAATTTCATGAATTTTCAACTTGAGACAGATGTTTTGAGGATTAAAAGCTTCTAAAGCCTTCTTCTTTGGTCTAACCAATGCCATCTTCAAAGCTCCAATGCTGTTCTTTGATTCAACCCCAGTTGGGAGGATTCTGACCCGAGTAAAATTGAATTTCCCAGTCTACCCATTTCTGTTTCTGCGATTTTCTTTGGTCCGATTGATCTGTTTGAAGATGAGTTGCTAGTGATAAAGACTGCCTTGCAGGTGTTTCTATAGACTAATTGGAAAGGGAAGGCAAATGTGAGAATTGGCCATGAAAAACTGTGACATGTTCAAAAAGATTGGTTATTTTTGGTACTCGGTACAGGGGAGGCTTGCTCCAAGAAATGGGAAGGAAAATTGCTAGAGAAAAACACTGCAAGTCAATAGAAATATGGAAAACGTTGCAGATTTTGAGAGGAAAGGGATGTCTATCATGTGCTAGAGGAAAACACTGCAAGTCATTCCATGAAAATTGCATATTATTCACTGAAACATCAAATTAAGTGATACAAATACAAGTTTTGGGTATTACTAATTCACAGTGTACTTTTCAATAATAGCCCAACTTGATCTTCATAATCTTTAATATTTCCTCTGGGATTCTCTTGGAATCTTTCTATCCTGAAGTGCTTTAGCTCAACGCCTTTTGCCTCTCCTGTAAGCACTAAATCAGCCAGTACCTTCCCAACAGCAGGTGACATCTTGAACCCATGGCCTGAAAACCCACCTCCAATCACCACATGTTTCCCGAACTCCCCTCCCAGGAAATCTATCACGAAATCTTCATCGGGTGTCATCGAGTACACGCACAGTTGAGTCGCAGCAGGTCGACTCGAATCGACCGACCCTTTAAACCTCTGCTCGATCCATTGCTTCAATGTGTCCGGTACAAATCCAGGTCCCCATGGCCTTTTGTCCGGGTCACATTGGTAACCCCCATGCACTGCTGCTTTGATCAGCCCTGGGTACTCCAACGATGGTGTGCCGTATATGTATGGCTTTCCGTAACTAGCGAACGTCGGGAAATCGCTCCCGATCGCATACTTACCCTCGTGTCCTTCCTTGATCCTCCAATAACATACATTGGTTTCCAATGGTTGAATCGGTAGTTCAATTCCACTGACTGTTTTAACCAACTTTCTCATCCAAGCACCGGCGGTTACCACACATTTTTTACCGCGAAACTTTTCACCGTTGCTTGCGGTTACCGTCACGCCTCGGTCTCCATCTTTGGCTATATTAATCACTTCGATGTTGTCTCTAAGGAATGCACCATTCTTTAGAGCAAGTGTTTGAAACATCGATACCGCCTTGGTGGGCTTGATGACACCGCCCAGCTCACACGACACGCCAATCCAATCGTCCGGTATGTCTATCCGACCGGAGAATCTTTCAGTGACTTGCCTGCGGTTGAGAACCTGGTGTGGGACGGCGTTTTTTCGACACGAGGCGATGACTGATAACAGACTCTTGGCATCGGCTGGTCCCATGTCCAAGTGTTGGGTCTTGAAGTAGACCCTGAAGCCGATTTCGGCCTGAGCCTGCTCCCATAACCGATACGACTCAGTCACCAAGCTGAAGTAGTAGTCTTCGGGGTATGTTGCTCGTATGGTTCGAGACTCGCCGTGGGAAGAACCGCGGTGGTGCAGGAAGTCAAACTGCTCGAGAAGAAGTGTTCTCTGGCCTCTCTTGGCTAGCTGGTACGCCGTGGAGCTCCCCATGACGCCGGCGCCTACTACAATAACGTCAAATTCGTCACCGGAATATCCCATCTTAGCCTGACAACAAGTCTTAGCAGTTCCTTTCAGCTTGGCTGGATATTATTATTTTCATATAGTGACAGAACATTTATAATGGTAAGCAAGTAGCTGCGGTAGGAAATTTCATTATTGCCATCAGCTCTGATATTATTTTCTTCCTCATTTGATTGATATATTCCGTAGTTCATACGGAAAGCTCATATATGTCAATGGCATCATAAACTGCCAAAATTAAAAGGCTAATGATAACATTTTTTATCGTATCTTCTATAATGTATTTTAAATTTAGAATTATAGATAAAAATAATTTAGAAAGAATAACATATAATTTGGCTCAATTAATTCAGTTTTATTATTTATAATATTAATATTTGAATTAGAGATGTATATTACATTTATATTTAACGAGTTTTGATTACATTTTTCTTAAAGAATTAGATCTGTATTGAGTTAGATTTTCTAAAGAATAAGGTTGGGTTTAAATTTAAGGTGAAAAATGTTCGACTCGACGGAATATAATAATAAATGATTGATAGTTATATATTTAGAAATAATTGTTATAATATTCCTCTCTTTATATTTTTTCAGTTAGGTTCTTGTTTTACCCAATAAAATATAATTTTTATTTGTATTTGAGGCGAATCAAGCCAAATGTGAGTTTTTACTCTAAAAATATAGTCGAACAAAATCTTTCTAAATTCAAATCAAATTAAATAAAAAAAATTCTAAACTCAAATCGGATAAAATAATTTTTTTTCTAAACTTAAAACCAATTGAATAAAAAATAATATTCAGATCAATTTTTATCTATCTTGAGTTTAACTTTTAATTTTTAATAAAAAAATGAGTGAAATATGTGACCAAATGAAATGATAATTGTTAGTTTGTTACAGAGGAGAATCTTTTGGATAGCCCATCTTTGTCATGTTTGCATGTTTTATATGTGCAACATGGCTTACTTGTTCTATCTCCATCCATTTATGCTTTCGCTTTCTTCAATGGCCCACCTTATTATTATCATTGTTATTATTATATCCATTGACATAGGAAAAATAAATATGAATATATGTAATTATCAAAGTTCAATTAGTGAATGGTTAATATATATGTCTTTTTTATGGTTGAAAATGTACTTTAACTGTTTCGTATCATATATGTGGTGTAGGTTTTAAAGAGATTCCAAAATGGGAGGATCTTTGATACCTAATGCATATTCTAAAATTAAAATATAAAGTTGCGGCTCTACAGCTGTAACAATCTGCAGAGTAGTGGATGATGACTGGAAATGTGTTGTTTCTGGGCGACTGCTCGTCACCCATGACTCACCATTTTCCTTTCTTAATTTCATCACTGTCGGTGCCAGCTTGGTTGTTCTCGTCACGTGACCCACACCGCGCATTGATTTTTTTTTTTTATTTAAAAAAGGTAACATTTCATCTCATCAGCTTTTGGTCTTTACATTTTGTGATGGAAACCCAGAATATGGCCCCAAGAACATGATCCAGATTCACATTCGCGCATCAGAAGCTGGCCCAAATGTCTTCGGAAACAAACCGAATATTGGCAGCAAACGCCCTTACTCTCTCCCGCTACAAATTTTAAAAGATAAAAGATTGAAATATATTTGTAATGTTTAATAAATTATATTAATTAAATTGGTTACATTTTTTAAATATATTTTAAATATTTAATAAATATATTACACATGTAAATTAAATTGTTTAACCGGTTTAATAAATCATATAATAAAAGAGCTAAAAAGTCAAATAAATAACTTGAAAAAAGGGTAAATACAAACAAGCACCATTATCAATAGTGAAATACAGACACCATCAATATTAACATAAAAATACATATGATAATGATAATATATTAATAAACGAACTTGATCACATTTCAATCACGATCTATCTTTGGTGACTAAATAAAAAACAACTAAAAAGATGATGTCAAATTTAATTCTAAAAAAGAGAAAGTACTACAAAAACAAATAAATCATTCATAATTTACTTATAAAAAATGGAAGATTAACTGATAAGAAGATTATTATTTTTAATAGTACGAGATGGTTAATCGAAAATCTGAATAAAAGGAAAAGTGGAAATGAAGGGAAAAAAAGGTGAACAATCATCAATTAATTTAAAACTAATGTTACTACTGACGATAAAAAAATATAAAAAGAAATCAAAAGAAAAACAATGAAAAAAACATATTTAGACTCATTTATATAGTAAATTTTTGTATCCACTTTGTAATGTGTTTCTATTATGTTAAATTTTGTTAAACATATGAATTACTAAATAAAATATTTTACGTAAATATATATATATATATATATATATATATATATATATATAATTTACCCAATAAATAATTATAGGTGAAATGATCAATAGATATGATATAACTTCATTCATTATGTATTCAAGTTTAGTTTTAAGTTGATTCAATATTAATTCGATTAATATTATTAATGTTTTAAAATCTAAATATACGTGAGTTCAAGTGTGCTTAAGTACAATTGATTCTTGCTTTAAAAAGTTGTGAATAATTTAAACATTATATTCATATAAAAAATATACAAAACTATATTCATAATAATATTAATTGCCAACACATCTCTAAACAACAATACTCATTTTAAATTAATGCTTAAACTTTTGAACATTACAATTTTATCCTCAACTATAGCTCTTATTCTAAATGGATATCCAAACTTTTGAACGATTCAAATTCATCCTCAAATTATGAATTTCATTCTAAATCAATCCCAAACTTTTGAACATCCAATAACATCCCCCAAAGTCATTCAAAAGTTCAGGGATGAAATTGGAATATTCAAAAGTTTGAGGATTAATATAGAATGATGATCATAATTTGATAATAAATTTAGAATATTCAAAACCTAAGGGGAGGCTTAAAATGAAATTCAAAGTTTGAAGAATAAATTAAAATGTTCAAGAATTTCAAGACTAATTTAAAATATGAGTTATAATTTAAAGAGTTGTTGTAATTAACTCAAGATGTCACACTCCCATTTTTTTAAAATAAATTAATTTGGTTGATTTATGGACAAAACTGCAAGTTTCAAAAGCTTGTGGCTCGGTTTTAAACCTGTAGGAAGTTCAGTGACTTAACCTTGAATTTGCCCATTTTTCGGTAAGGAAAAATGAAAAAAAAATAAATGTATGGTTGTAGGGTTTCAAACCCCTATCCCCTGGTATACTAGCCATCACCCTACAATTTAGGCTAAGTCACTGTTTGTGATATTATTAATTAAATATATCTTTTATTGTTTAAGTTTCGGGTTATAACACCCAAAAACCCATTACCCATTCCAGAACTAATTTCCCAAACTCTCCCAAATCTCTAACCTCACTGTCGGCCTCCACCAAATCCATCGTCATCCGACCGTCATTGAGCACACCACCACCCACATCCCTCCAACCTCTCACTGAAAATTGGCATCGTTCACTGTAAAATTCATCGCGAATAACCACGGGATAAACCAAATCACACCACTATTTATTAACGATTTTTGTCGATCAGTGGTCGTCTCACCTCACCACCTCCACCGTTGTGTTCCTAGCGTCGTGCGATCAAAACTCGTTAAGGATCGTCGCGTAGTCGTCGTCCACCATTGGGGGTAAGTTCCTGGATGTTTTTTTGGTGATTTTGGTGTGTTTTTGAGGTAATTTTGGACTTAATATTAGTTGGAGTAGGTTAATCGTTGAATCGAGAGTGATCAGCTATCTAAAATGACATCTGTCTCTACTGCATGCGCCGCCACGGATCAACAATGTGTGTGGGGCTCCTCTGCCAGTCCAAAAGCCTCCTGGAACGGGTCCATTCAAACCGAACTAGTCCAATCAGACCAAACTGTGTTGAGTTGAGTCAACCCGAATAAAGTCAACTCATTGACTTTGATTGACCGTTGACTTAGACCAAAGTTGACTTTGACTTTGATCAAAAAGTCAAATTTTTTGAAAAGTCATATTTTATGTTTTCAACGTACTAAGTCCAAATTCGACGTCCTTTTTGTCATATTCGAACCCGAAAGCCTCCGAATTGACCGTCAAACCTGAACATGCATATTTACATAAGTATTTTATTTAAGAATAATTAAATTAAGGTTAATGACTGGTATAAGATATTGTTATTTGAAGGTACACGAGACTCTCCCGACTATTCGACAGCTCGACCAACTCCTCTCAATCCGTTCAATCTCGCGAGCCAATTATTACTCATATGATCCATAAACCCTATATGTTATATGGTTGTTTTATATTGTAATACCCTGTAACATCTCAAATCAGGGTCAGTGACTAAATTGCAAATTTTGAAAGTTTTGTGCTTAATTTAGAAATAAATTAAAAGTCTCAGGAGTTAAGTAAAGAATTTTAATATTGGATTAAATAGCAAAGATGGATGAACTAAAGGGGCAAAATGGTCTTTTCATGGGAAAGATTTTTATCTTCCCTTTTTGAGTATTATAAAACGTGGGAATTATGAGAGAGTTCCAGACTTCTCTTCTTCATTCTCTTCTTTTCCACCGTGAAGCCATAAGCAAAGGTAAGATCTCTTGTTAGTTGATATTTAGTTGAATTTAGGATTTGGTTATGATTATTGGATGATAATTAAGCTTAAGGAAAGCTTAAATCATCTTTAAAACAAATGATGGTGGAATTAGGAGAGATTAAAGATTAAGAGTTTTTGAATGAAATTTTTGGAATAGAGTTCATTACTCAAATTGGAAGTTGAATTTGACTTGTCATCTATGAGAATAAGAAGCTAGAAGTGTTAGAATTAAGTTTGTGTAACATGAAAAAATTGGTATGATTCTTGAATGCTATGTGGAGGAGTGGATTTTTAAGTTAAAGAGATATTGAATGAAAATTTATTAGTTTAAGTATGTATATTTGAGTTAAGAATATTAAAGGAAGTGAAATAGGAAGTGTGGAACTGAAAATGAAGTGATTTTCGAGCTCAAAATGTGATTTCTGGGCTAGGGGAATCGGTACCCATTCAAGGGGAACCGATACCCC